AATCCGCTTGTCACGCAATGCGTCCGCCAGCGCCGCGTCGTCGATGACACCGCCGCGCGCAATATTGACCAGCGTCGCGCTCGGCTTCATCTTCTCGAGTTCCGCCGCGCCGATCAGGTGATGGCTGTCGGCGGCATAGGGCACCACCAGCACCACATGATCCGCCTCGGCAAGCAATTCATCCTTGGTCCGGTACACCGCATTCAGTTGTGCTTCAAGTTGCGGCGCAACCCGCGAACGGTTATGGTAAAGCACGCGCATGCCAAAGCCCAGTGCACGTCTAGCAACCGCCTGCCCGATACGGCCCATGCCGATGATGCCCAGCGTCGAGCCGTGTACATCCACACCGAGAAAGCCATCGTAGCTCCACTTCTGCCACACGCCGGTGCGCAGCCAGCGCTCGGACTCCGTTACGCGCCGCGCGGTGGCCATCAACAGCGCCCACGCGAAATCCGCGGTGGACTCATTGAGCACATCGGGTGTGTTCGTGCCGAGTACGCCGGCACGATTGAACGCATCCATATCGAAGTTGTTGTAGCCAACGGCCATGTTCGCGGCCACCTTCAGCCTCGGCGCGGCGGCCAGCACGGCCGCGTCGATGCGGTCACCGGCGGTCAATGCACCGTCCTTGTCAGCCAGGCGCGCGATCAGCTCGTCGCGCGCGAGCACGCGATCGTCGAGATTCACGTCGACGTCGAAATACTGCTCGAGCGTCTCGAGCACGTCCGGGAAAATCATCCGCGCCACCAAGACCTTTTGCTTCATCGCCCGCTCCAATCAAAGTTTTCGCCCGGCGCTCAAGGCCGGAAAAACAGCCATGTCGTCATCGCGAATACCGGCAGCAACACGCATGCGGACCATCCAATGAAGCCAAAAAAGCTCGGCATGCGTACGCCGCGCGACTCGGCAATCGCCTTGACCATAAAATTCGGCGCGTTGCCGATATACGTGTTCGCGCCCATGAACACCGCACCGGCGGAAATCGCCGCGAGTGTCGGCGCGCCGGACGTCATCAACGTGTTCGCATCGCCACCCGCCATGTTGAAGAACACCAAGTATGTCGGCGCATTATCGAGAAACGACGACAACAGCCCGGTCGCCCAGAAGTACATTGGTACGGGAGCTTGCGACTCGCGCATCATCCATTGCACCGCGGCGGCGAACGCGCCGCGCTCGCCGGCGTGGAGCATCGCAATCACCGGCGCAATCGTCACGAAGATACCGGCAAAGAGCTTCGCCACCTCGCCGATCGGCGCCCAGTTGAACCCGTTGCCGTCGCGCGCCGCGCGCGGCGTCACGCGCAGCGACACGAGCAGCACAACGAGCAGGCCGGCGTCGCGCACCACACTCTGCAACTGGACCGGCACGCCCAGGACCGCGAACTGCACGTGCGACGCCCAGACGCCGCTCATCAGCACCAGCGCAATGATGCAGCCGAGCAGCCCGAAATTTACCTTGCCATCGATCTCGATACGACCCGAGTCCTGCGTCCGATCGACGGGCGCCGGCCCAGGTTCGCCGTCGCGCCTGAAATAATAGCTGTCCAGCACGTAGAACACCGAGAGCACCACGGCGCTCACGAACAACGCGGGCAACGCCAGGTGCACGGTAGTCCAGAAAAAATCGACGCCGTTCAAAAAGCCGAGGAACAATGGCGGGTCGCCGAGCGGCGACAACGCACCGCCCGCATTGGCGACGAGGAAAATAAAGAACACCACCACATGCGCAACATGGCGGCGATTGTCATTGGCTCGCAACAGCGGCCGAATCAGCAGCATCGCCGCGCCGGTGGTCCCCATCATGCTTGCGAGCAGCGTACCCAGCGCGATCAGGCCCGTATTGAGCGCCGGCGATCCATGCAGATTGCCACGTATGCAGATACCGCCGGCAACCGTATACAACGCGGCCAGCAACACGATGAAGGGCACGTACTCGGCAATCACCGCATGCGCGAGCGATGCGAACGCTGCATCCACGCCGAACGACATGGCGAACGGAATCAGGAACGCAAGCGCCCAGGCCGCCGCCACCTTGCCGAAATGGCGGTGCCAGAACGTTGCGGCCAGCAGCGGCAGCAGCGCGACCGACAACAATATGCCGGCAAACGGCACAGCCCAGTGCAGACCCAGTCGCGCACCCTCGATTTCGGCTGCGCATGCGGCAAGCGGGGTACCGGCGAGCAACACGCCCGCCAGTGGAATGGCAAAAAACCTCGTCATCGGTAATATCGGAAAAGCTGGGGTCACACGTCGCGCACGACGATCGCATGAACACGATAAGGGCCATGTGCGCCGAGCACGATGGTCTGTTCGATGTCGCCGGTACGCGACGGACCTGAAATGAAATTGACGGTACGCGGCAACTCGCCACGCTCGGCACGTATCAGTGTGAAGGCATCCTCGAGACCGGCGACGATGCGCGAGGCCGGCACGATCGCGATATGCGTCTCCGGTAGCAGGCCGGCCGACACAAATTCGTTTTCGCCGGACAGCAACGCCAACGTACCGGTCTCAGCGATCGCGCAAAAGCAACCGGTGATGCCGATCAGATCGCCGTCACGCGGGGCCCTGAACTCAAGCTCACACCCGACTTGCACCCATCCGGGGTCAGCCAGCGCGGGCCATGCGATCGCGGTCGTGGCAAGCCCCTGCTCATGCAGATAGGCGGCAACGGCGGCCGGTACCTGCGCTTGCGCATCGACGCACGCAACGCTGGTAGCCATCCTGCGCGACTGCACAGCGAACAGCTCGACGAGATCCTCCGGCAGATCGGGCCGTGGCCCGGCCGGGTGTCGTGCCAAATAGTCGGCCAGCGCATCGCGCTCGCCCGGTGCGGGTTGCGCCGGCCGCCGTTGTGCGGCACGGATGCGAGCGATGATGTTGCGGCGAGCCGCCGAAGTGTCCATGTAGCGATCCTCTCTCTTAGCATATCGGCAACGCATCGGCACAGATTATACCGGCGGGCCACTGGACACCCATCGGCCGGATAGCCATCGAGCCTGAATCCGCGAGCACCGTGGCGGCATCGGGCATCGGGGTGGCATCCGGCGCTGGCGACACCCGCCCGTGGACGAGCGGCACACGACGGCATCGCACGACTCAGTCGCCGTCCTGCGGCGGTGTATCGATTTCGAACACCTGGCGCAAGTACGCGAGATACGCGGGATCGTCGCACATGTTCTTGCCCGGCGAGTCGGACAGCTTCGCGACAGGCTGGCCATTGCAGCGGATCATTTTCACCACGATCTGCAGCGGTGAATAGCCCAAGTCGTTGGTCAGGTTGGTGCCCACGCCAAATGCCAGCTTGCATCGGCCGCGAAAACGCTCGTACAACCGCAGCACCTTCGGAATATCGAGCGCATCGGAAAAAACCAGGATCTTCGTGCGCGGATCGCAGCGATTCAGTTCGTAATGCTTCAATAGCCGCTCGCCCCATTCGAACGGGTCGCCCGAATCGTGCCGCGCCCCGTCGAACAGCTTGCAGAAGTACATGTCGAAGTCGCGCAGGAACGCCTTCATCCCGTAGACGTCCGACAGCGCGATACCAAGGTCGCCGCGGTATTCGTTGGCCCACCGCTCGAAGCCGAAGATCTGCGAATCGCGCAGCCGCGGACCCAGCGCCTGGCACGCCTGCAGATACTCGTGCGCCATCGTGCCAAGCGGGGTCAGCCCATGCTTCATCGCATAGTGGACGTTGCTGGTGCCGGCAAACTGCTCGCCCAGCCCCGCCATCAACGCCAGAATCACCTCCTCGTGCCAGCGCTTGGAAAAGCGCCGCCGCGTGCCGTAGTCGGCAATCTTGCAGTCCGCGTAGTCGGGCCGGGCACCGAGCATCGTCATCTTGCCGGTCAGCCGCTCGCGCCCCTCGCTGTATGCGGGCGAGCGCTGCGTATTGCGAAAGTACACTTCGTTGACGATCGCCAGCACTGGGATTTCGAACAGGATTGTATGCAGCCACGGCCCCTGCACGACGATGTCGATCTCGCCATTGACCTTGGGCGACGGCGAGACACGGACGTACTTCCCGTTGAGCTGGAACAGCGCCAGGAAGTCGACGAAATCGCTCTTGATGAAACGCAACTGCCGCAGGTAATCGAGTTCGCCGTCGGTGAAGCGCAGCTTGCACAAATGGCCGATTTGCTCCCGGATCTCGTCCACGTACGGCGCGAGATTGATGCCCCGGGTACGGCAGCGGAACCGGTATTCGACGCTGGCAGCCGGGAAATGATGCAGCACGACCTGCATCATCGTGAATTTGTAGAGGTCGGTATCGAGTAACGAAGTGATGATCATGGTCGCACAGCCAGGCACTGGCCGAAATCACAGGCACGCCACAGCCGCCTCGCGCGCGGCACCCGACTTCGATGTTAGCGCAACCGGCCTACCGGCGTGCGGGATGCAAATCCGCGCCGCATATAAAGACATCGCCAAAGTGTATAACAGCACCGGGCCCTGGGCAGCGAAGCGGCGGCGGCGTACGTTACAATAATTGTTTTGCAATAGTGGTGTCCGTTGCTTCATTGCGCGCCCCACATCACTATACATAGAGTGCAGGAGCTTCAATGACTCACGTTGTGACCGAAAGCTGCATCAAGTGCCGCTATACGGACTGTGTCGACGTATGCCCGGTGGACTGCTTTCGCGAAGGTCCGAATTTCCTCGCGATCGACCCGGACGAGTGCATCGATTGCGCGGTTTGCGTGGCGGAATGCCCGGTCAATGCGATCTATGCGGAAGAAGACGTCCCTGGCGACCAGCAGCAATTCACCCAGTTGAATGCGGAGCTAGCGAAAGGCTGGCCGAGCATCACAAAGACCAAGGCGGCGTTGCCAGACGCGCAAGAGTGGAAGGACGTAAAGGACAAGCTGAACCTGCTCGAACGATGAGCACGCACCGCGTTGCGCGCAACGAATCGATCGCCAGCCTGCGATTTCACGATTCAATGCGTTCCGCCTGTTGACATGGCGATAAGACGCCAATAGAATTCTGTTTCTCTGCTGTTCCCCGATAGCTCAGTCGGTAGAGCGCCGGACTGTTAATCCGTAGGTCCCTGGTTCGAGCCCAGGTCGGGGAGCCAAGAAAATCAATGGCTTAGCATTGCTGCTAGGCCGTTTTTTCTTTCCATATAGCGCTGAATATTAGACACTGTCTAATATTCATGCCTATCAACATGCACGGTACTGCCCAACGTGGACCGTGACCAGCGGCGGTCATGCGTGCCGAATCACCGATCGACGGCATTGGCCGCGCCCGTACCGTGCCAGCAGGAAACCCTACACTCCACTGCGCGGTGATTCTGGTACTCCGGCCACGTAATAGCTACCCGTGATTGACTGCTCGCGCTGCTGTGATGAACAGATGTATCAAGTTGTCGAACAGCATCAACGAACACCAATACCACCGCCCAATCACGAAATCCGGACAAAATTTTGGGCCTCCAGAAAAAGGTAACAGAAGAGTTACATTTTACCTTCTTGAATGGTAACTTCCTTCGAAATGCAATTCCTTTAAAATCAATTATTTAGATTTTTTCACCTTTTATGCAACCCTTTCCCACCCTTTCTTTGTAACACATATTTCACTTTAAATTCAAAAACTTACATCACATTTTAGGGAGAGTAACCAATGTTACCTCTGCCGCTCTTCGAGTCGTTGTTGTTGCGCAGACGCTCGGTGTCGGTGCTGTTGAGCAGATCGACCCGGTGGGCCACCTCAAGGTGGACGTTTTTCGCATCAATAGCCGAGCCGCGAATGATCACGTTCCCCTGGCGTAACATCATCCCGTGAGGCAACACGACCGGCCAAGGTAATTGTCGCCGTCTACAGAAGCGCTTATTTAACATCTCTCTGCCGGCTTCTCCCTCCGACACCGCATAAACCGACTACATAGCGAAGAGAGCGTATCGCGTCTTCAACACGCCAGTCACGCTCACTTCCCACACTTCAGATTGCACGCATCGCCGGACGGGTCACCACGGTCGGCGCGCCGCCGCCGATCGTCGGGTGCGCCATGCTGAAACTTCGGATCCGGCGCGGACGCGGCGAACTGCATCTGCGGATGCGCGTTGAAGCGAAATTGATCGCTCAGGATGCCGCCCGGCACGCCTGGCTTGTTTTGCGCGCACGTCACCGCCGGCGAACTCAACGCCAGTGCCGCGATGCCTGCACCGGCGAGGTGAGCACAGGTCACGCGCACGCGGCGCGCTCCCCTGCCAAGAGATGGCTGGCACGCGACACGCTCGTACGACGGCGCGGCGTTGACGGAATGAAACGACAATCGGCTAAACACACGCATGGCGACAAGCACACAAGAAATGGCGGATTCGATCGAAGTGTAGCGCATGCCACGACGCGGCCTGCGCGAGCGCAACATAGGGTGCGCCGAGCGATGCGACGATACGCTTCACGCGCCGGGGCATTTCGGCGGCCGCGCGGCGCGACGCCATGCTCGACAGTCGCACGCTACGCGTCATTGAGCTTGCACTGATCAGCACGCCGCACTGTTAAGATAAACAATTTCTTTCCGATTGGCTTTCGATGACAGTGCTTTGTACCGCGCGCAGTGTACCAGCACGCTCGCACGACAAACCCTCACTCGCTCACCATGCGACCGAGACCGTCCGCTTGGCGGCCCCACTCGCGATCGCACAGCTCTCGCAAATGGCGATGAGCATCACGGACACGATCCTGCTAGGCTCGCTCGGCTCCGACGCGCTGGCCGCCGGCGGGCTCGGCGCGAATCTGTTCTTCACGGTGATAACGCTGCTGCAGGGGGTGCTCCAGTCGGTCAGCGTAACAGTCGCGCAGGCACGCGGCGCGCAAGCGGACCATCGCGTACCGTCGATCTACTGGACCGGTCTTGCGCTATCGATGCTGCTGGCGCTACCCGCCTTCGTACTGTTGACGTTCGCCACGCCGCTGCTGGCCGCGTCGGGTCAACCGCCAGCGTTGGCCGAGCATGTCGGCCAATATGCGAGCGTGCTGCGCTGGGCAGCGCCGGGCAGCCTGATCGGCATCGGCATGATGCGCGCGTTCCTGCCGGCGATCGGCGCCGCACGGCGCCTGCTGTGGGTATCGGTCGGCGGTGTCGTATTGAACGGCTTTCTCAACTACGGGCTGATCCATGGCGCGTGGAGCTTGCCGCGCATGGGCTTTCTCGGCTCGGCGGCAGCGACGACGATCACGATCTGGGTGACCGCGCTCGTCCTGCTCGCGCTGCTGCACCTGCACAAGCGGTTCCGCCACTTCATCGCCGGATCGCGCCGCCCGCACTGGCCAGTGATGTCCGAGCTGCTCTCGATCGGCTGGCCGGTCGCGGTAATCTACGGCGTAGAGACACTGCTGTTTCTCGCCACGAGCCTCGTGGTCGGCACGCTCGGTGTCGTTGCGCTCGCAGCGCACCAGATTGCACTGAACGTGGCATCGGTCGCGTTCATGGTGCCGCTTGCGATCGCTCAGGCCGCCAACGTTCGGGTCGGGTATTGGTCAGGCGCATGCCACCCCGCGGAAGCGCGCCGCGCCGGATTCGTCGCGCTGGCGCTGGGCGGCGGCTTCATGGCCGCATCCGGTACTGTGATGACACTGGTGCCGCACGGCATCATCGTGCTCTACCTGAATCCGCACGAGCCGTCCAATGCCGCGACGATCTCATTGGCCGCGTCACTGCTGACAGTGGCCGCCGTATTCCAGGTCGTCGACGGGCTGCAGACCGTCGGAGCCGGCTGCCTGCGCGGCCTGCGTGACACCCGCATACCGATGCTGCTGGCCGCGATCGGCTACTGGGGGATCGGCTATCCGACCGGCTATTGGCTGGCGTTCCATGTCGGCCTGGGCACAAAGGGATTGTGGTGGGGACTGGCATCGGGACTGGCAACCGTCGCCTGCCTGATGGTTGCGCGCTTTTACTGGAAGAGCCGTGCCGCCCAGCACAGCGCGGCGGCATAGCGACGGCCCAACCGGGAAGGCATCCGCGCAAAAGAACGCGCCCTCGAGCGCTGGCTCGCACGTGTGCCCCCCGCACACGCAAGCCGGCCGATGTGGCTGGCGCGGTTGTTCGAACACGCAATCGCGCCGGAATTCAGCTACTGGCCCCACCTGGCGACGCCCGAGGAACGCGCACTTCGCCGGCCGTGCACGCAATATGCCAACCAGCTTGTTCTTCACTCTGCCGTTGCGCGACCCGTTGTGAACGCTCGCCGCGGCAGCGCTGTCCGATGACAATGGACCGTCGTCCGTACTTCTGGAGCATGAAATGACCGAGAACGTCAGGATGGAGCGTGACACGCTGGGCGAGATCGCCGTGCCCGCCGACCGGCTGTGGGGCGCGCAAACTCAGCGATCGCTGCAGCATTTCAAGATCTCGACCGAGAAGCAGCCACCCGAGCTGATTCATGCGTTGGCGATCGTCAAGCGCGCCGCGGCCGAGATCAATGAAGCGCTCGGTGCACTGGCGCCTGACAAGGCGCGGGCAATCATTGCCGCGGCAGACGAGATCCTCGCCGGCAAGCACGCGACGCAGTTCCCGCTGGCGGTCTGGCAGACCGGCTCAGGCACCCAGACCAACATGAACCTGAACGAGGTGATCGCCAACCGCGCCAGCGAGCATCTCGGCGGCGAGCGCGGCGAGATCCGCCTCGTGCATCCGAACGACGACGTGAATCGTAGCCAGTCGTCCAACGACGTGTTCCCGACCGCGATGCACATCGCCACCGCACAAGGCATCGCGGCGCGGCTCAAGCCGGCGCTGGCGAAGCTGCGCGATACGCTCGCACAAAAATCCACAGCCTTTGCCGACATCGTAAAGATCGGCCGCACCCATCTGCAGGATGCGACACCGCTCACGCTAGGCCAGGAATTCTCGGGTTACGTCGCGCAGATCGACCAGGGCATCCGGCACCTGGACGCCACGCTGCCGCACCTGTACGAGCTTGCGCTGGGCGGCACCGCGGTCGGTACCGGATTGAACGCCAATCCTCAGTTCGCGCAGAAAGTCGCGGCGGCGATCGGCAGGCTGACCGCACTACCGTTCGTCACCGCGCGAAACAAGTTCGAGGTAATGGCCGCGGCCGATGCGCTGGTGGCCGCGCACGGCGCGCTGAAAACTGTTGCCGGGAGCCTGATGAAGATCGCCAACGACATCCGCTGGCTCGCGTCGGGGCCGCGCTGCGGACTGGGCGAACTGACAATCCCGGAAAATGAGCCGGGCAGCTCGATTATGCCGGGCAAGGTCAATCCGACCCAGGCGGAAGCGCTAACCATGCTGTGCTGCCAGGTCTTTGGCAACGACGTCGCGGTGAATTTCGGCGGCGCGAGCGGCCATTTCGAGCTCAACGTGTTCCGGCCGATGATCGCGCACAACGTGCTGCAATCGATCAGGCTGCTGACCGACGGTGCGCTGAGCTTCAACGAGCACTGCACGATCGGCATCGAGCCGAATCGTGCACGGATCGACACGCTGCTCAACGAGTCGCTGATGCTGGTCACCGCGCTGAACCCGCACATCGGCTACGACAAAGCGGCGCAGATCGCCAAGAAAGCCCATAAAGAAAACACCACGCTGAAAGCAGCCGCGCTGGCGCTCGGCTATGTGACAAGCGAGCAGTTCGACCAGTGGGTGCGTCCGCGGGACATGGTCGGCCCGCGGCCCTAGATCTTTGCGCTGCCGTCGACCAGCTCCTCCGGCTTGAGCTCAACAATCGCATCGAGCGCCTGCCTGACGTCCATTGCGTACTTCGCCAGGCGCCTTTGCTCATCGGTGCACGGCTCGAACCGCGGCACCGGGACCGGATGACCGGTCTCATCGAGCGCGACGAACACGACCAGGCAATCGGTGCTCTGGCGCAGCTCGCCCCACTTCGGGTCACCCGCGAGCACCGACACGTGAATGTGCATGCTGGTGCGCCCGGTCGCGACCACGCGAGAGCGCAACTCGACCAGGTTGCCGACCAGAATCGGCCGATGGAACCGGATATTGCCCACGCTCACCGTCACGCAATAGCGGCCTGACCAGGTGGCCGCACACGCATACGCGGTCTCGTCGATCCACTTCATCAGCGCGCCGCCATGCACCTTTCC